TTTTTTTTTTTGTTATTATTCATTTTCTTTTCCTTTTTCATTGTCATTCTCGATGCATTTCTCAAGCGGTTCGCGCGGCAATGACTCGAGCGCGCCTCTCGCGAAGGAATCCCCGGCCGATCCTCGTGATTCTCAAAGTCATCGGAATTTTTAGCGCGGGGACGATAAACTATGTGATCGCGCGTATGTCGACGATCGAGCACGGACGATATTAAAGGATATAATTGAGCAGTTTGTAGGTTGTCACGGAAACAAATGGCACTCTCTTTCGAGCGAGCTAATTGCGACGTATCAAAAATACGCTTGCTTGACTTGTGAGAGTTCTCGCAGGGTCGCCTGATCCTCAAAGTGCGCAAAGTAACGCTGATGTGTATTATGCGGGGGTGAAGATGAATATAGAGACACGGAAATTGTAGTCAACGTAGAGACAGGTGGCACACGACGCCATGTATGCCTCATCATTTCCTAGAGCGATTCTCAGTTTTGCGCGTAACGCTTCAAGTTGAAATTCGCATAAGTAAGGCTCGTATTAATAGCCATTACTTGAAATTCGTCTCAAGTAAGATACTCAAATTTCAACCTAGAATTAGATGAGAGTTTTTCAATTGAATCACGCGGATACAGATATAAATGTCACACTTACCATAATTCAACCGAAAAACTTGGATCTGACTCTGAGTAAAAATCTGAATATCTCACCTGAGATAAGTTTCAAGTAACGACTATTAGTACGAACCTAATGCGTCGTCTACAATAACAGTAGGAGTAGTAGTAAAAAATAAGCAGTAAGTAAATAGACCAATCACAGTCGACTATTCTTGAATCGTGAGAATGGAATTGGTCAATTTGCTTACTGCTTATTTCTTACTACTACTCCTACTGCCATTGTAGACGAAGTCATAACTCTTGTTACAAAAGTAGAAGGTTTTAATGGCTTTAACTATAATGCTTTCAATCTGTCTCGTAAACGCGCAAAGCCGAAAATTGTATGACTCTCGATCTGGGAGATGGTGGGGCATCCATGACGCCGTGTGTATATCGTGTATAAAATCACTTCATGCAAGACAATACGTATGCACACACTTTCGCTCATGCTGAAGTTCCTCGTACGCGCGTAAAAATCAAAGAAGAAAAATATTATTCTTCTGCTAAGAAAAGCGAATCACTCAACACTTACTTTCCTTCTCTTAAGCAATAGTTGTCGTCAACATAGAATACTTTCCTCGCGTCAGATTTAAGAGAAGCTTATATTATAATGTACTCAAGAAAAGAATTTATTCTTTTCACAAGAATAAAATTTTATGGAAAAGAAACAGTCAGGGTTTATACACTAAGCGAACAAAATTTTTGTTTAATTTGATATTCTTGGTTGAAATGGCCTATTGAACCGATTGGGAAAAAGAATAAATATTTTGTACAAATTTGCTGCTTGTTATGAGTTTACGATGGATTTTATGGGCACATTACGAATTGCTCATGAATATTATAAATTGCTTAAAACAAATAACATTCACTTAAATGCAATATGTATTTTTTCTGTGTGTGTCTACCGTGAGATAGGTGTGGTACTTTTTGTATTATCATTCGTGTCCGCGCGAATACACACGCATATGTATCGTGCCGTGGAATTACCGTGGACACCACTTTTGGTACGTTGGATTAAATTCATACGCGAAAAACGACGGGATCGCTTTGGTTCCCCCGATAATGAAATCATTTTCGCCGAGTTTTACCGAGATGATTTTAACGAGATAATCTTGTCAACCACTTCATCATCGTTTGAGGTAATCATACTATATATCTCTCTTCTATATTTTATGGAGTTTTTATCCCTTCGTTCCCTCTAGAAACTCTTTTGCAGAAGCTGACTTCTATTTTCTTTTTCTTTCGTACAATCGCAGCACGATGATAAACCGAACGCGTTTCACGATAAACAGAAGCTGACTTGACAAAATTGAACGGAACCGAATGTGCCGTCACGCGACATACATACATCCGTCCGCCTCCACAGCTATTCATCCACACACACGCGTATGTACACACACACACACATACAGAGAGATACACTCACCTTGCGGACTATTTAGAAACAACTCATGCTCGAAGTCCCTTCTGCAGATCGGCTGGCCCTGCCTGAGGATGAAGTGGGCGCCCCTCGGCAACGGCTGGCCGCACATGCAACACATGAAACACTCCACGTGGAAGACCAAGCTAGCCACCCGCATCACCAGGTCCGAGCAGCTGATCTTCTCCATGCAACGCGCGCACTTCACCCCGAAGATCCTCTCGTAGTCAGAGCGGCAGTAGAGCTTGAGGTCGCGTATGAAGCACGAGTGCGACAGCATCGCGCCGCAGGCCGTGCAGGAGAGGCACTCCTCGTGGTAATTCCTCTCGGCGACTCTCATCACGTACTTGTCGGCGATGGTACGGCCGCAGCCGGCGCAGATCGTCTCCAGGAGGCCGGACTCTGTCTTCACGGAAACGGACGGCTCTGTGGACACAAATTGACCGATCAACCGGGCCATTCTCACTCGGAACCAGGAGGAAGGCTTTAAAGCCGCGGGGAGTAGAGTGTTATTTCTTCAAACGTGCACAGAAAAAGAAAGATTTAATTAGATTAACCAAATATCTGTGATAAAGCACGAAAGAAACCCCGATCGAAATTACCAGAATTTTATTCAAGTTAAGATTTCTAGTTCATCAGAACTTGCAATTTTACAAGCTGAACAGTTGTGCTTGACTAAGTTCTGCTTGACTAGAGATCTTGTTAGCTTCAACAGAATTCTAATAACTTCAACTGGTTCTCTCATGTTTCATCGGACATTTGCTCAATCCAAATCAATTTTTCTTCCTGTGTAGAACTTGAAATTTTGTTATTTGCAAGGTACGATCAAAGTGCTGATTCTCGGATGCCTGGACTTTCTTATTGTTTTGATATTTAGATACACATAGAGAAATTATCTCAACAAATAAAAAGAATATATATTCACGGTAGATGCTAATATTTAGATTTGTACTAATATAGAATACGGTAGGTGCTAATATTTACATTTATACTAATATAAAATACTTTTCAAATAAGAAAATACATCTTCTTAAGCAATTATTTATTCTATTTAAATAATATAATTCAGACTTAAATGAATGTGTTATTAATACCCATACAATAAATATACGTTTTATTTGTTAGATATACGCAAATATTTAAAGTTACAACATAGAATATATATATATATATATATATATATATATATATATATATATTTTATGTTGAAAGTTTAAACATCCGCATTTAAAAGCCAAAGTGATAAAAATATCTAGACTTAGATACGTGTCGGGACATTAATACTCTTACCTGACACGCAATTTCAGTTACCTGACAGTGTTATCACAATTTTAAGTTTGTCGTTTCAAGCTTTTTATCGAGACGTTCACCGCGCGTGAGAAGAGAAAAGCTCACCCCGATAGTGTCTCATTTTCCATGAAGTATTACTTGTATATTCGCTGCAATATCGTTTCTCATGTCGATAAGCCATAAAATAAATCACGTGCCAACGCCGACCCTTCCTTTAGCGACCGTATCGTATATGAGAAACGCGATTTTGTGTTCTAAGGGCCTCTTCACTTCTTATTCTCGTTCTCGCGAATTTGCTCAGCTTCTCAGATCAACTTGCTTTTGCCATCTTCTTTAATTTCTTAAGGCGTGAGTCGCCGCTAATCGTGTCGACTCGTCTAGCAATCTATCTAGGAAGATCCTTAGAGGACAATTTAAATACTTTCCTGCTCACCTGCATTATTGTTATCCGCAGTGGGCCGGAAAGGGATAGGTGGAACCGCCGGCAGAGGCTGGCCCGGTTCACTTTTGAAAGAACCTTGATTGAAAGAACCAGGCGCCGGAGGGTAAAACTCCAACATGGTGTTCTTGCGTTGAAGCCTCGAACGTGAGAAGTCTTCGAGCCACGAAGAGACGACGAGGATGGAACTTGCTTGAGGTCCTCGTCGGAAGTCCTCCTCTTCGTCGAGCGACACTAAACACTCACGTCCACCACACACACACGTTCCCGTGAGAATTTCTTGGTTTATCCAAAAGATAAAATTCAGTAAAATGTTCTCGAGAAGAAAGTTTCTTACACTGGAAAAGTCTCGATTGGTCTCGAGAAGAAAAAATTTCGAACGAAGAGATTCCCGAGTTCCTCGACGTTCTATACCTTTCTCGTCCACTCTCTGATTCACCAGTCGTTCGTATCCAGAGTTCAGTGTCTTCGGTTCCAATGAATTTAATACTTCCGCACTGAACTCGCGCACTTCTACTCTCCCAAGTGTGTCCCTCCCGTCGTTCCGTTGCAAGCTAAATTGACTGCCCCAAAATGAAGCAAATCTAGACTAAAGAGTTCGAGACTGAAGTTACGAGTCACCTCACACCCCCGTACGAATTAATCTCGTTTCAGTCGACATTCTCGTCTCGATGAAACAAATGAGTCCTCGATTCGCCTCCCCCGAGCGCGGAGGCGTCGGCGAGCAAACGCAAAGAGCTACCGCGGCAGTCTCGGCAGTTTTTAGCCCTCACCGGTTCTTCGATACGGACCGCGCCGTACGTCATCCGAGTCTCATGACGAGCACCCGTGGCCGGCGTGTGTGGGTGTAACGTGACGATCTTCCTCGGCGGGCGCGCGGCACGAGACGTCACGGCCGCACCGCATTCCGGACACGGCGACGATGACAGCGGCAGCGACGACGAAGACGACGACCACGGCGACACCCGCTCTCGATGATCCTCCCGCAGCACCCCTTCCTCATCCGCTCGGACCGTCCGGTATCTCGGTAACTCCGCACGTCCGTGCGTGACAGTTCGCTACGTGTCACCGGTACGAGCTCCGTCGCTTTTTTGACGAGACCCACCGTCACCGATAGCGAAAATCATCCCCCGCCCCCACCCCCCGGCCGATCGCTGTCCCCATCCCCCACGGGCGCAGCAGCTTCCCTACCCTCTTGTGTCTCGTCTCCGCTCGCTGAGGAGATAGACGAGGCATCGACGCGAGGGTGAAGAGGGCGGGTTCAACCCCCGGTGGAAGCCGCTCGCAACCCTCTGGCTGAGCGCGCGATTGGCGCCGCCGAGAACCGCCCCCACCTCGGGGCGAGACAGGGGGGTGAAACGGCGCCGAGGGTGCTCAACCGACGGCGACGCGCACCGCGGGATCAATATCTGGCGACCATTGCCGGATTTCAGTGACGTATCTCCGTAAACTCGACGGACATCGATCTCGGGTGCCGCCGGAATCTTCTTCTTCTTCTTCTTCTCCTCTTCGCTGTTTGTTTGCTTCTTCTTCTTTTCCCTCTGCTTTTCTCTCGACGAGCGATCGCGCGGAACGAGTTTGAGCCGGCTTGTGCCGAATTCGCAAAATTTCGCACGGGATATGTCGGCAGTTGCAGGCCAATTGTTATTGGATGCAGCAGCGAGTTTCCAGAGATAAGACCGATGATCGTCTTCTCGATGACTTCGTCGTATCTATTATATAAGAGAAAGAGAGAGGGAAAGAGAGTACAATAAGCAGCTATGACAGTGTGATGAGGGATAGTCACGCTTAATAATTCCACAACAGTTAATTAAAGTACGATTAAAGAAACGATTAAAGTACGAGACGATTCACTGAAAGCAGCGTAATGTTAATCCCATTAACGCCCAGTGTCCCATTTGTGCTTCTTTTTATTAAATAAAATCATTTAATTAACATGAAAAATGCTTAGAAAAATGTACCTGAAAATTTATCTGTGAAATATAAAACTTATTTGCAGAAATAAGCTTTATTTCACAGAAATAAATTTTACGTCCCACAAATAAATTTTTAAATATTTTTTTTCAATGTATGTAATTTTATCCTTATATTTTCAATACTCTTAAAAACACCTCCAATTATATCAATATTTGTAAAAAAAATACTTCTAATACTTCTAATAATACGTTAATATTACGCTGATTCAGTGAATCGTCTCGTACTTTAAACTTCTGGAAAACAGATTGATTTCTTGATAAAAAATGTTGATAGAATAATCTTCTAACACAGATGAAGATTAGATAACAAGCTGCCGCTTTCGACTATCCGGATCGACGAGAGACCACTACTTGTCAATACGAGTAAAATCAGAGACAATATACACTCCGCGATTGTCTTGTTTTCGTTCTCGTTGTTTCCGACGCACTTCACTTTTATCTTCGGCCAGCTCGGCTAATAACCAGCACCACTTTCCAACGAGACCACCCCCGGGACATATTTTTTCGTTGAAAGTCGGCGCGCACCGACCGAGTATTTGGCCGTTTGTCAGTCCGCGTAAATATGCGACAATGCCGTCCTTTGTACCGGCTGTCTATCGGCGATGTTTGCCAAATAAAAGCCTATATAGGTCTCTTTGTCTCTGTTCCTGCGCTGCGCGCGGTACGAATCCCCCCAATGATACGCCTAGTTGGGAACGAAACTACGGCATGCCCCTCCGATACGACGATACAAAGGGGCATCAAGTTGGCGGTAATGGTGATGCAAAGTATTCGAGGGAAACACGTGCAGCAGCCCGAGGGGGGTGCCGCCACCCCCCGCCTCGAGAGATGCCCGGTTAGTATTCAGGCTGTCGCTTAATCGTACGCGACAGCGACCATACGTCGCACGCGATCGATAGATCCCCGACGTCGTCGGGGCTCGAACGATCCCGGCCACGGGAAAGAGTCGCCCAGACGTTGTCTCAATTAAAATCCTATTTATTGCTTGTTAACGAAAAAATATCCGCGTATTCTCCGCGATAATTCGTAGCTCGCAGCTCAGTGTTTCTTCTTCTATAATTAATAGTCGTGATTAACAACAGAGTGATGTTGATTGTTTTCCAGTTTCACAATCGCGATATCTACGACTCAGAGAAAGAGAGAGAGAGAGAGAGAGAGAGAGAGAGAGAGAGAGAGATTGCAAAGATTTCTGTTGTCTTCTACATTGCTTTCGAAAGTCGATTTTACACTAAGAAAAAATTCTACAGAAGTAAACTTCACATCCCTCATAAATAAAGTTTCCAGTATTTTTTCTCAATACAAGATAAGGGCAAACATTCAATTATTCTCTCTCTTAGTTATTGACGTTGGAAAAACTTGATTTTTCTTATGAACAGTGTTGGTTGTTCACAGTAACAAACGTTTTTGTGACAAACGTTTATGAAGTTATCTTTTTAAGTCATAAAATGCAGATAAGAAGTCTAACTGTAATGTTGGCCACAAAAAATTACTCTTTTTCTGGGGAATGATTAAGAGGATGTCAATAATCGCGTGTTTTACCCTACACACGGAATAAAGGAAGAACAAAGTCAGTGAAGAGGTTCAGTTTGAGGTGCAGTTTCAGGTGCAGCTCGAATCACAATCGAGGATCCTGCAAGCGATCCATTGATCCGCTGCGGCCTTATCTCGGCTGGCAATGGAAAATTAGGGACGCCTGATGACCCTTAGCGCGCAAAAGCACAAAAGTCGGATGAAATATGGCTCCTTGCAGGTGCATGTGTAGAGAACCCGGTCCGCGCGCGGTCCCCCCCTCGTCAGCATATTGTTCGGGATGTGACACCGAGGCCATCCGTGTAATTATGCCGATACGGTTCGAGCATTATATCCCGTTGGGGTGAAGGGGGCTGGCTGTCTTCTCGGTCGCGTGGGCCACCTAAACACCCTTTGGTCACGCACGGAGAGGGTGCCGTCATAACACCGAGACCTCGCGAACTTCGTCTTCGTGCACGTATTCGCGACAGTGCGCGACGTGTGTGCACCGACGTTGGATTACCTTCCCCGTCGCACAGACGTTTCAATTATTGTTAATACGTTACATGCAGCGACGATACGACGATATTTATCACGCTATGATACTACCGTGTCTCATTAAATTACGTATAAAATATGAATTAGTATTGCATTCATCATTATTTTCATATCATTATAACTGCACAATTGCGTTATATCGTTGTGTTGAAAAAGTCGATTATACGATCGGCCAACAAAGAGCCGACGAAACAAATATACACCATACATCTGGAATTACATTTATTGACCGTATATTTGATATAATTCAATCATCAGCTGGAGCTTTCGTATAATCAACGTGGCGGTTAACGTGTTGATTCTCCGACTGTCAAAATTCGAGCACAAAATTCGACCTACCATGGCAGGTATTCCTTGCGTTTGAGGATGTCTCTCGCAAGTCTCTTGCAAAGAGACGAGTTTCGCGAATTCACGACGACTCGTGACGCAACCTCGACCTCGTGGTTCACGATCAACGTGATGGAAATGAGAAAAATGCCACCGTCGTCGCACGTCATCGCCGTAGCCGTCGCCGCTTCTCGCGTCCCTCGCGGAGGAATCCAAACTGTAAGGCTGCCGGCGGCCCGCGAATGACAATCGCGGAATGAATTCTAATAACGTGTCCTCTTTAACCCTAGCGCGCACGAATCCATCTTTTGCTAACGAGGGTGGAAGTTCACGATTGCGTCCCAGGAATGCGTGATGACTACTTTGTTAGGAATGCAGCACGGCGCGGCGCCCATACGAGAGCGAAACGAGAGCGGTATATGCAGTGGCGGCGAACACCCGAGGTAGCCGACGGAAATTACAAAGCCAGCAGGATCCAAGGAGACTACGTTCGACATATTATTATCTATATATAAGATAAAATATCTGTCTGTCTGTTCCCTATACACTGTTAAATATTGGAGGGTCAAATTTAAACCAATTTCTTGAGTTAAATAATATTTTTAACTATCATGTGTGTCAAAATTTTAACACAAAACATGTGTTTAAAAAAACAACCACATCTAATCAACCCATTTAAAACAATATTAAGTCATTTTTTACTAAAACAAAGGTTACATTAACGTGCACATAATAAAAAATAAACTAAATTTTAGTCAAATTTAATACATTTCTTAAGTTAAATTATTTACCTCCGTTACATTAGTTAAATTAACGACATATTTAGCAGTGGCGACTTATAGGAATGGTTAAAAATAACTCAAATTGAGTATAATTTGACACTACGGATTTAACAGTGTACACTTCTGACATCTTTGACCGATCTAAACGAATTTTGCATAGTTACTCTCTAGGACCCTGCGGAAAATGTGGGAAACTTGGATACTCCCCATTCCTTCCCCTTGATTTCCTTCTGACATCTTGTGACCCGGACAACGCTGGGTAGCTTCAATTAGTTCCCAATAAAACAATGATCAGAATCTGAAACAGAATTTCTGTCTGAACTATTGAAATTTGGCAGGAAAGTCTCTCTCTGTGGCGTCCACCCAGATTAAGGAGAGTCACACTTTTTATAAAAGTGGTAGGACAAAAAAAGACTAGCGACGAGAGACAAACGAATATGTAATCCCCATAACCGTCTAAATTTGCCAGAAAATATTGTCAGAATGCTGCTGCTGTAAGTTCTACACACCACGGACAACTTTCTAGCAGATATATAAAAAAAAAAACGGCGATATATTTCCACTGTGACATTCAACATTCTATCTGAATCAGCGAAACATTTCTTTTGAGTGACTATGGTGAAGCAGGACGCTAAAGTGATAGACGACAAGACGAAGAACAAACAATGATTAGCGCGATATATTGGCAAGGAAAGCCGCGAGTGCGCGTCGAATCGCGCGTCACGCGAGGGGCGAGTACGCCTGACACGTCTCGGGGATGATCCGCCACTGGGTATGCACGGGGAAACGTAGTTGAAGCGCGGCTTCAGGACGCGAAGCGTAGCTGAAAGCAGCTGCGCGCCTCCCTGGAATGCGTCCCTGTTACCCGGCACCGGGATACTGCAGAGAGACCAAGGAGGGTTCGTACGTTCCTTCCGATCCCGCTACTCTTTGGTATTCGGGCTTTGGCATCGCA